TGGTGCCTGGCACATTAAAAAAGTAAAAAGTAAATTAAAAAAGCAAATATTTATTGAATGAAATAACAAAGACATAGAATATCCTTTTATTGGCTTTTATAAGTGAAGTTAGGAAAGAATTTCTAGAAAATGTAAAGCAAAAACCTCTTTTCATTTGTTTCAAAGTATTTATCATTATCCAGAATAATCACATTTATTTACATGCATGTTTATTACTTGTCTCTCTAAAAGCGATAATAAAAATAGGCATTAATAAGACATTTACTGTGTGCTTATGTATTAGCCAGTTTAATCCTCAAAGCAACCTTCTGAGTTAGTACAATTTTTATCCCCATTTTTTATAAATGAGATAATGTAAGCACAGAGAAATAAAGTAACTTGCCTAAGACCGCATAATTCTAAGTGGTGAGTTAGAGATTCAAGCCTCAAGTGACTAGCTCCTGGGTCATTCCCCTAGCCACTCTGCTGGAGTGCCCCTTGTTGCACTAGAATGTCAGCTTCAAGCAGCAGGGACATTGTCTTATTCAGCACTTAGGTCCCCAACACTTAGAAATAGTATTTGGCTCATTTGAAAGAATGAAGAGATGAACTCCTTTCCCTAAATATTAATTTTGAAGTTGTCATGAATAGCACAATGAAGGTTTAGAAAAATCTAAACCTAAGTTCAAATCTTGCCTCTATGGTACCTAACTTTATAATCTTAAATAAGTTGTTATCATTTTGAACCTCAGTTTCCTCATCTGAACTCAAGTTTCTTCATTTGTAAAGGGAGCTAATTCATACTTCAGAGGATTGCTAGTAGTAAGCTAATTTGTGAAAATACTTAAGACACTTGAAGCATTGACCAAGTTTTTAAAAGGATTTTTTGCTATTACAAATTCCATATCATTTTAACATGCTTGCTAATGTAGTGTTTTATGTAAATGCACTTACGTTGTACGTAGTTCTCAAATACTCAGCTTTGATAAGTTAAATTCTAAGTAAGTATTTTAGGTAGTACTTGAAGTTTTGGCAGGTTACCTTCATGTAGCAAGTTCTATAAATATAAGTATGTCATATCTGATTTTCTTATCAAATCAAATGAATTTATATTTCTGACCAAGAGGGGTGTGGTACTCTTTTTTCTTTTTAAACTAGAAATACCAAAGGTGCTATTAAGTCAAATACGTGACCAAACACATATTAAGCACTTGAAGTTATGTATCACAAATATTCTAAAGGATATTCTAAATCAGTTAAACCAGGCAGTATAGTAGTATGATAACCATTCACAACAGTTATATTTGATGTTATTATAGTCAAAAAGTAATTCCTGCTTCATTTTAAAACAAATTAGAAGGTGATTAAGTGCCATCATTATGTTAATGGAATTAGGGACTATTTTATAGTTATTTTTAAGGAGACTTTAAGAGAAACGCCACGTGATACGTTTTTTTTTTGTTGTTGTTGTGTTAATGGAATTAGGGACTATTTTATAGTTATTTTTAAGGAGACTTTAAGAGAAACGCCACATGATACGTTTTTTTTTTGTTTGTTTGTTTTTTTGTCTTTTGTCTTTTGTCTTTTTCCGTGTCCGGCAACAGATCGCAACCCTCAGTGTTGCCCCCGTACCGGGCCGGGGACCGGCAACGGGATTGCAACCCTCGGCGTTGCCCCTGAGCCTCGCTCAGCCAGTGAGCGGGAACCAGTCTGTATGTGGGATCCGAACCCTTGGGCGGGAGCGCCGCCGCGCTTCCCAAGCGGCACACTTATCCAGTGCGCCACCGGGCCGGCCCTCACATGATACGTTTTTGTGTTACTACTCTGGGAATGGGTTTTCCTGCCCTTTCGTTTCATTCCACATTTCCCTGTGGCAGAAATATGCATTAGACACCAAGCTTTCCTTTATGTTTTATATTAAAGTTGTGATTTTTTTTCCCATAAGTAGTCATACAACATATGTTAACTCATGTAGCTAGTGACTACCTTATTGGACTATGCCGTTTCAGTTGTTTGCCATTTCATAAAGTTCTAGTATTAAATATTATATACTTTAGAATTAGAATTAAAATGTTTGATGTACCATAGAATTCATTGCATTGAAAATGGGATTTCTCGTTATTGGAAGGCTTGCCTTTATGAAAAAGGTTTTTTCCTCCTTTTGGAGTAGTAACCTGCTTAAAATGTGCTTTTATTCCACCCAAAATTGCTAAGCCAAGAATATAATCTTCCTTTGGAATATAGTAACTGGAATTTATTCAAGCTAGATCTGATGGTGAATTTGCAGAGACTTGCCTGAAACAAATATACATGGATTGCACCATAAGTAAACAGACACCAAAACAGCTTGCTGTGGTTTTTGTTTCCCTAGTAATAAAACTTAAAATATGTTTATAATATAAAAATGTATGTCATGACTGGAACTGTTATTAACTTTTGGTTAAATGTAAGTTTATTAGCTTTTGTATTACAGTCTAAAAGCTTTTTAGCAAAAGTAACAATTGTCAAACTAAGCTTTGAATCCAGTAGATGATTAACAAAATTGTTTTAATTTTAATTAAAAGAATCATTGTTGGGATTTCACTTAAATTATTTAAAGTCACTTACAAAGATTATATTCTCTCAGGCCTAATTACATTATACATTAGGTTTTCTTTTGGCAGTTGTTAATTGTTTAGTCATTTAAAAAACAATGGTAGGAGATAAGGAATTAAACTGATGTTTACCACAAAACTGTACATTTTCTTGAAAAAACTTAAAGCCATTTTCCCATATTGCCTATTCATCTCACTTCTTATATTAGTATCCACTTATTATATTAGTATTTTTTACATCTCATGGATACATAAATTTTGTGAAAATATGTTATGAATTTATATTTTTATGTTTCTTGATGGTACAAAGCAGTTGTGTGTTCGCTTATGTGCAAGTGGTGATTATAGGGTTTGTACTTAGAATTTCTATTTTTTCTTTAAAGGAAAGAAGAAACACCACCACTATTTCTTCTTTACAATTCAGTTCCCTGAGATTGTAGTTTTCAAATGGTCACCTTATTTTAATACTATCAATAATTATGGCCATAATTATTACAGTTTTCCAACACATTACAAAACCCCAATAATTACAGAAATTATAATGCTGACAGTGTAATGGATATTTTTCATTAGGTAGGCTAAAAATAAAACTTGGATCATTTTAAACTTTTTTTTTATATTCAATTTTTACAAAATTCTGTAAGAGAGCTTTTCTTAGGAAAAACTATGTGATATGTGGAAAAATCAACTTGAATTTCCTTGCACGATTATTTCTCATTCATTAACTCAATAATGCTTTATTTTAAGCAGCACCTTCACCTTTGTAGAGAAACTAAGTGTGGAAAGTTTTATCATCAATGAATGCTTGAAAACAAGTGTTTATAATGAAAGCCCATGTTCCCGATTTAAATACTCTTTACTGCGTGTGCTATTAGAAGTGTGTCTGCAAAGGAGAGAGGAGTGATAAGGGTGAAGGCAAGGAGGTTTGAGGACAACCATGATTGGCCCTGGAATTCTCTTATGGAAGTAGGATTAGGCTTAGGTAGTTTCATAGGTAATGCCTCCAGCCCTATATAAGGAAAGTGAGGTTCCAGATGCTGGGAACATTATCACTGAACAAGGGCCTTGGTGAGCATCCTGTTCAGTTTCTAGCTCTGGAAGAGAGCAATGACCTAAGCTTAGTGCAT